GCCCTTTTCAATGCGCTGCGTTTCACCACGATGTGAGGCAACTCTCCGTGTCACTAGTTTTGATGAGTTTTAGATAGTTGGGCTATCTAAACGTGGCTGACTTGCAAATGTTTGCACCGGACATCAATGTTCAGGGCGCATTCCGCTCCGGTCCACTGCCTCACACCCGGATAAGGGCGCCGAACCCCAAAGCACCGAGCCAATGTGCACGCCAGCCCCGAGGAACAGGAAGTGAGTCACGGCCGGTGAATCAGGACACGTGTGCGCTGAGAAACAGGACGCGGGGACAAAGGCAGGAAATGTGCTGGTGGAGTCTGGTATTCCGGGCATGGTAACACTCGACTCCAATTCCAATCTCTCCCTCTTCCCACCCAGGCGGCAGTGATATCACAACCTCTGGGGCAATAGTTTTACCTGGCCGGGGATGGAAAAGCTCTGTGGGGCTCATTTTTGTGTTGGCTGTGAGATCACTCGCTATCTGTTTAATGCCAAGGGGATGCCTCTCTGTACTCCTCTTCTCCGGGAATAGTAATTCATGATTGTTGTTAGAATGAGGATTTTCCTGACACCTGTGGTGGAAAATTAAAGACACGGGGTGTCAGATAGGAGAAAGGTTCCGTGGGGGAGGCAGAGGGTATCTTTGAGTCGGGTGATTTGAGATAAAAGGAAGACAAGTTCAGCTTTCTGCACTCCAGAAAAGCCAGCCCACTTAATTGCTCTTGGAAACGTCACTATCATCAGCAATATAGTTGTACAACGGAGACACCTAGTGGTGAAAGACGAAATGCATCATAATCTTTTGTTTTACTTCATCCTGGTTGGATCCCGTCACATTTGCTTTCCTTGCTTGGAATAACAACATCACATTTCTTCATATCTCCACTGGTCTGGTGGTTCCTCATCTCCTGGCCACCTGTTGCGCTGACTAAGCATCCTTTTTTCTTTTTTTTTCTAATGGTAAGAGATGAAATGCATGAAATCTGCTTCTGGTTGCCGACCTTCTGGTTGCCCAGGGAGAAGTGGCCTAGAATAAGGAGTTTAGATATTGTTCTAAAATCAATTAGATGAGCATAAAATACTAGCATGCTGTCCCAGGGAGGTTTGTGTTTCTAGACAAAACAGGAGCCATAAGGATTTCCTGTCTGATCTGGAATGTCCCATGTTAATGTTATTTGGAATTTCAGTAGGAAGAAGTTCTGAATTTCTGAATTTCATTACTCTGAAACATGTTCCAATATGTTCCTCTTCCTTACTGTTACAGGCAGCCTGAAATTGTTTCCTTTAATTTCTATCTTAGGTTAATTTACTTTAAGCACAAAATCCACAGGTAAAGAGAGGTGGTGTGTAAGAGCACCAGTGCCGTCTGATAGCAGTATCTACTGTTGTACTGTAAGGTAAATAGCGGGTTTGATGAGAGATTAAGCCATATTGACACTGGAAGGAATAAATGTTAGTCAAATAGACTGTCCTTTTGCAGAATGAATGACCTCACCTTGTTTGCATCCTCTCGTGTTCCTGTAGAAGTATGTAGACGTAGACATACAGTATTCGATGGAGTCTTTGAATTACTTTGTTTGCCACCTCATTATAGCCCTGTTCACAATAAGTATATTCATTCAGGATCCGCCAACATCTCCGTTTGTAGCCCTGACCTTTTTAATTTAAGCCCCCGATGCCAAACCCAACTCCAGCCCTAACCTGCAGAGAACAAACACAAGTGCCTTTCTGTCATACAGTTGGGTTCATTTAAGTTCATAGATTGACAAAATGTGGATTACAAGTACATTTATGGCATCATGTAACTGTTATTTACTTCTCTGTTGAAGACGCATAGTAACGTATAACATTTAGGCCCCCACATTACAAAAAATGATTTTGCTGTTCTGTAATAATCCGGGGAAGAGTCAGCAGGTATCTTCATGGGCTCAAAGGAATGTCCTACTCTGACAGGTTAAAAGATTCTACATCCTTTAAGTCTTGACCAGAGTCAGCCCAGTGTAATAAGCGACAGAGAAACCAGACCACCAAACCAGAATGGAAATTACATGGAAGCTCTTCCAAAAAAAGGATGCCCCAATTTTACACAAAGACTTGTAGGAGTGTGCAACAAGCTACGCAGTCATGTTGTTATTGAAGGTGCGACCTTGGATTCTTCCGGGAAATGGCTGGGAGAGATTCCTGCATTAGCTACCAAAAAGAAAATGAGACGGATGAGCGGAATGACCTCTTCTTGTATGTAAACAAATTCTTATGTCATCATATAAAGTTAAATGATGTTGCAGTGCTTTGGGTATCGTGCCTGTGCTTCGTGTTGCCCTTCCCTAGAATGAGAGGGCTCAGTCTTCAAATCTGTAAATTCCATGGATCATTTTTTCCCCTTGATCTTTGGACATTAGCCTGAAGTCTGGAATGGAGGTTTTAAGTTATATCGTCCCAGAACATTCTGCACATGATATGATGTGCAGATGATATTATCCAAAAGTCTGGGTGCAAGATTTTCTACTCGCCCACAGCGAAAGCAGCTGAAGCTGATGTGCAACTCGCCTGTATCAATTACACGATCGGCTCCGAGCGACGCCATGCGGGAGGCGTGTGCGGACTCCAGCGCTGCCAGGCTGTGTGCTTGGCCCCAGGAGTGGAACTAAATGGACACCGCTGACCTCGACAGGAGTACTTGTGTGTTTGGTTTTCCAGCCCTCAGATTCTCCAGTATTCTCATTTTTTGCCCTCCCCCTGGTGAGATGCCTTTTCTTCCTTAAGCAGCCTAAACTTCTGTAACCTAATGGTGTTGTTTGAGGAGCCGAGAGCTCGATTAAGTTAGCCTTACATTTCCCACATTTTGGTAAGTGTTCATGATGTCCTGGGCATCCCAGCTGGTGCTTTCCTTCTCCGTATATTTTACTTCTTTTTTTTTTAAAGATCTACCCGTGGCTATAAATTGTTCTTTGCAGGGCTGGGCTTGTTAATTTAAGACCTGGCTTGTACAGTATGTGAAAACATACCACAGGCTGTGTGCTTTCGCAGGCAAAAAGGCTGCTTGATAGTTCCATTAAAATGTGTCTGCTGAACTACTTTTTTCTAAAAAGCATCAGGATTAATATTTTTTTTCTTTAAGGTGACTTCTTGAAGCCCCAATCATGTCATTTGCATACTCAAAGCAATCTGTATGAAAATATTTACTACTACAACAACAACACCTAATAAGCTTACTTTATGGCTAAATTATTTTTTGAAACAAATAAAGTGGACTTTGCTTTCTTAAGCATTACATTGTTGCAGTAAAAGTGTTGTGCTCCGAGTTACAAATGATGTGTGGGCTTGTGTATTTAGTTTCAGGCCTCACAAGAACCACCGTCTCAAACTGGGCTTGGGTCATATAAAAATTTCACATTAATATCTAATCTCATCAGTAGTACTTTGGTATTCCTAGATCCAATTTGCAGTTTAATACCATCTCTGCAGTCCCTTTTTAGTCCACAATTTTAATCAAAAATGGAAAATATTTTACAACAAAGATTGGACAAAATAGTTTAACTTTTGAGCTCATGAAGAATAAATAACTCAATGAGGAAGAAATAAATTCCTCATGAGGAATTTGAGTGAACACTGGAAACCACTTAATGGTTTAGATATTTGGAAGCAGGGTAGTTCTAGGGTATTTTCAAGAGTTCCATGAAAGGAAGATTTCCTTTTCAGCAAGAATTACATATGCAGATTTATTTTTTTTGCATATATGCAGTAATATACTTGATCTTATGTGGCTTGAATTTGGGATTAATAAGAATAAGATCTCCATACTGGACTCCTACCAAAGTTTTAAATACAGATCAACCTGGACCTCATACTCCATTAATTTATGCATTTAAAACAACCATAATCCCTTTTACTCAATGTAATAAGATTCTTATCCCTAACCCTAGCTCAGAACTGATAGCTCAAAAATGGTTGAAGTCTTTTCAAATTGAACAACTGCTTTACATTTCAGTCAAGAAATTGACAACTCTGCTGGAAAATACCCAGAAAAGATTGTAACCATCTTTCAGAGATCTCCTGCGCTCAGTCACCTGGATTTGACACTTTGACGCCTGGAACAAAAGTAGGGAACAAAAATGCACCCTTTCAAATTAAAAACTGAGCAGTCACAAGTATTGCAGAATATTTTTAAAAGGTGAAAACTGATTTTATTTACATTACTTATAAAAATAGCATTAACATTGCCAAAAATATACATAAACAGTACAGAGAATCCTTGTGCAACAGCAAAAGCATCAAAGCAACAGTGAACACATGGACTACTTCCATTACTTTTTAAAAGAATGAATGAAGTGAAGGTTAAAATGTTCTAAAGGTTCTCCCATTTCTAGAGTATAACAAGCACATCAACTTACAGTTGAGCTCGATTTTCCCACCCTACAGGAAAATGCATTTCAAGAAGAAAGCTGAAAGGATCATTTTGAGTTTGGGCAGTTTCATTTATCACCTCAAAACCAGCAACTTTATGACTGGCTGCTTGAAATACAGTGGGTTTTGCCTTCTATTCCAAGTATTATTGCAATAGAACTGTAATATACTTGTTCTTCAATGTGAATGCAAATCAGAGAGCAGTTACTGTTTAGGTACGTGCCCCTGCCAGCCCAACCCAAGAGAGGATGGGTTCATCTGGTGCTAGCTGTGCTTCCCAGTAGTTGGAAATAGTGGAGAAAAACAAGCAGGGGAAAAAACAGGAGAAATTAATAACCCCAGAACCTTTAACCTTTATCCAGTTTCATGTCAAAACATAAGCCCCAACAGCCAAGAACCAAGTCATAAACCTACAATGGTGCAGTAGATCATAAAATAGAAAAAAATAAGAAAAAAGAACCCTTCTTGCCTCCACATTAGTGCACAAGGCTGACAGACTTTTCAGAGATCAACACCATGCTACAGTGGTATTACAAAAAATGATACACTCCAATATTACAGGTCTAGTGTAAAAAGAAATGGAAAGCACACATACAATGTCAGGTTTAACAAAACTTTATTTTCTTTTTTCCGTAGATAGCAAAAAAAAACAGGAAAACGTACATTCATCTTCACATCTGTAAGTGCACATAGAATGACAAACACATGTTTCTTTTAAATCTTTGGCTGTTGACCACACCATTATACTATTCCCAGAAGAATGTCTTACAATGATAAGACCAACATCCCTTGATTGAAATGTTGCAAGAGTTATATTGTTTTTACCGATAAGGTCTGAAAGACCCATAAACATTGAATGAAGCACTTTTTTCCCCCAATCAATCATTTTCGCACATACAGATTTAGAATTAGTAAATGAACATACAAAGAACTTCAAGCTTAAATGTCAATGGAAAAAGAAAAAAGACTGACTGCCACTTATAGGATTTCTTAAAATATTAAGCATCTTTGGCATCAGCAATGACCTTGAGAATTTATTGCCAACACTATTTGAACTGTGTTTTCTACAGTTCTGCATTTAACACTCCAGCTACTTCAGAATAAAAAAGAATGCTAAAACTACCAGAACAACTTCCTAAACAAACTATCATTTCCTCCCTAGTGTTCACATGGGCAAATCACAGACAAACTGCCACCCCATATAGCATATGAATTAGATGGTCAGTTGGGTCCCCGTCTGTTTTCAGATCATCAGGCATCTCTTTTACACTTTGACCTTCAAACAAACTTAATACTATACAGCCTGAAAGTCTTTAATTATCTTGCCTTTCCCCACAAACAAAAGATTCCATTGTTTTGATATCATATATAGTCCCTTCATAAATCATAAAACAAAGACCAACAGCAACATCCCAAGCAATACAAGATCTGCACAAACATCTGCAGAAATACTGATCAGTAAAATACTTTTGGCATGTACAACTTTTTTGTTCTAGGAAGAAACATTGATGTACTTTGTGCTCTAGTTTGAAGAACTGAACTGCATGCATGAAGAGTGAAGTAATTTTGGATACATGTGTCTAAGCACATACTGTCACCGTGGGTCATTTATAAACCTAAATCTTACTTCTCTAGAAGTAGTTTAAGTTACATTATATTGATGTTCTGAGGTCTTCACCCTCTTAACTGCATAACCTAATACCTCACAGACCATCTCAAGCTACTGGAGGTTTAATGCTGCAGACATGGTAGTGATTTTGGCAGTTCAACAAGACTCTCCCTCCTTCTGGCTCAGAAAACATTTCATATTTGCAGCATTAAGGTGATTAGAAACACTGCATGTTTAGAGTACACCAATTTTTTTTCTAAGTATCTAGAAAAGATTAGTATGTGGAATTTTTTACTGCACCGAAAGGATTCATGACTAACACTGAAGAGATAAAGTGGAAAGAGTTAACTGCAAGACAAGACATTGTTAGCTTCTAGGGGGGGTAAACCTGTACTTGTCTGTATTGATGAAATTGTTGAGTAAAATGTTTACACATCATAAAACTGATCGTCCCACTAAAGAAAATTGATATTTATATATATACATAATACAGTTATTTATACAGACTAACATGGATCAGAAATGCAGTAGGAAAGGGAAAAAAAAATCCTAAGGCTATATATAAAAAAAAATCAAAGCCTTTTGGCTTCATATTTACACATATACATACACTATTTTACACATTTCTTCAGTTGCAAATACACATCTGACAAAGGTCAGCCCATGAGATGGTGTTTCATAGTAAATTCACAGAAATAATGTTTCTAACCTTTTCAAAGCCACAGTTCGGATTTCACGTTTGTGTAAGAGCTTGGGCAGCGAGTGTTAAGAGTAAAGAGTAATCTCAGAGGCACATTACAAAGGCACAGCCCTGTCCCTGAAAGACCGTTAAGCTCCTGCAACTGTTCTCGGGAGCATTCTTCATACAGTCAAAGACGTCAACATTTTCACTGACCACAATCTTGACCTCACCCCAGAACTCCCTCTAACAACAAACACCTTACATATATTTCCCCACAGATCCAGCTTCTCACACTTGCATCAACATGCACAGTTCACCCACTGAGTTAACAACAATGGTGTCAAGTAAAGTGCATCTCTATGGACAGTGTAAGACAGCTAAGGGCATTCAAGTTTAATCGTTCACGTGAAGCATAGTGAGACCACACAATTAACCAGATTTCTCCCTCACTGTGAAATGTGTTTTGGATGAAGATTTCTTTTTGCCTTCCGCAGAAAAAGTACCGAAAAGGTTTCAGACTACTATGAAAGACAGCATGAACGTGAACAACCTCAAAGAGAAGACTGTACTGTGTAAGGCTGGCTGATCACTATTGCCCCTCTCTTGCAGCTGTCAAGCACCAGGCGCTTGAAATCCTCTGACTTCATGAAGCGTGCAAGTGCGAAAAATAAAACTTAAAAATAAATACAAAAAAAAGTAGCAACATCATAAAAACAGTATGGTGTTTCTGATGAGAGGAGTTTCCCTTTTATCAAAAGAAAAAAGGAAATTCATTGGTTGAATAGCGTGCAATCGTGCTTGTTTAATTAGCTTTGTAAGACAGGTAGTCCACCATTGGCGGTGGGATGGGCAGCATCCGCACTTTGTCGGTGGGCATCACTCTGCGCAGAGCCATGCGGCAGAGGTGCTGGAGGCTGGCGATGGTCTGTGGACATGCCCAGAAGTGAACGCTACCGTTACGGGTTCTGCAGGACAGGACACAGGGCCAAACAGTGTCAGATGAGGAATTAACCTTTATTGCCCCTAAGGGAATGTGTCTTGCACATCAGGAGCATGTAGCATATGGCAATAATACAATACAGCAATAACACAATCCCATTTAGCAACTTCGCTCACTCAGAACTCAATCTAGTATCGTAAGATTAGTCTATAGCTCAATTTCAACTTGTCAGGAGCATTTTGCTATACAGATCTGAATAGGAAGATATCATAACATACTGATATAGAAGTTACAATCTGTAGAAAAGGTCAAAAGCTCATCTTCAGGTCTAATTCCTTCCTCAACTATAAGTATCTTTGAGCATTTCTCAGGGAGAAACAAATTAAGACTTACCCAGCTGCTAAAATACTTCCTCCAGTGGAGAAGGCACTGCACAGTCCATTTGTCAGTGGGGCAATGGCCTGAGGAGACTTCTCTTCGATGCTCCAGAACCGAATCAACCTTGAAAGATTAAGCCCCACATAAACTCACAGGAAAACATTACAACGAGCTCTTTATGCCCACAAGAACTTTAGAAATGTAATGGGCGTTTAAGAGGCATTTTCAGATGTAAGTGCTAAACCTCATAAGGAATTCTGAATGTTAATTAGGACATCATCTTCTTCATGGATACTCAGATTTGTAATTGTTGTTGGCTTCATTAGCTATTATGTATGAAATTTTTTTTTTTTCAAATGAATGCATGGAAAATTCTCTTAAAGCTACAAAATCCATTTTATGTAAACTCAAATGTCGTAACTTGGCCATTTTTGCTGAGAACAACTGATTCTTCATGCATGGTATGTGACTGTTCCATCTAAACACATTCTTGCTCTAGTATGAAAGCAGAGCTCAGCTGAGTGAAGCCAAACCTGACTCTTTATGGCCATCATGTGAATAGCATGTGACTCCTCCCCACAGAGGCATATCCAGCAGAAGAGGAACAGCAAGTTACTAAACCAGCTCTCCTTAGCTAATCCTGCCACATGCCTTTTACTTGGACATTTAATGAAAAAACGTCTGGCTTAAACCTTCCTTTCTCTCGGGATTTCAAGAGTCTATTACAAAATACTGTGATTTTTAAGATTTGGCACATGACTTATTAGGATGTGATTAGCAATGAAGCAAAGTTTAATGCTTATTAGTTGGCAGTTTACTATTAAAGAAGTTCCAAAAGATTTTGCCAAATTAAAGCACTCAAAATAGAGAGCATATTGTATAGCTAGGATTAAATAATTTTAAATAAAGGCAGATCCTATAGTCTGATTTCATACAACTGGAATTGTGTACAGATACAGAATAGTAAAGATCTCTGAATGTTTCTAAGAATTCAAAAAACAAACGTTTCGGATCAATCCATCCTAACTTGAAACGCTGGCCTGTAATACAATGAAATAGTGAAATGTACAGTCCCATTTGAAAAATGATCAGGAGACTCCAACAATCCTTACTTGTCATCAGTGACGCTGGCAATGTGAAGCCCGTCATGACAGAAGGCCACTGATCTCACCCACCGGTCATTTGCCCCTCCTGCGAATATTGGTGAGGGAGGAGGAAACAAGTGTCTGTGGGGAGAGAAACCAACAGGTTAGGTCCACATAGAACCCCATCAGAGTTGAGCATAAACACAGCAGAGGTGAAATGGTGGTGATATACTGTTCCTGTAAGCCAGTGTTACTCCCAGACAACTCCCTTCTACTTGAGATTAATGAATAAGTAATCAATCACTTGTGTAAATCATCATCATATGTTTTAGGCAAGCCACAAACGCAGTGTTTTATGTACTGGAGAAATGACAGTTCTCCTTCACCTTCCAGAAATGCTAAAAAGAAACATTAAGCCCCTCCTTGCCTCACATTTTTCATTCGCATCCCTCCCTTCCCAGCTACCCCTTGGTCAGCTCCTTATTCCGCACAGGGGTCAGGAGGACTTGAGGACAGCCTATGGCTGGGATGAGTTTGCCACTGCCACGTAGGTTTTAGACAGGGTTTTTTGCTTAACGTCTATAAACATTCAGAAGCTTGCCTGACTGTGTGTTATTCCCTGTGAAAATGGGAATGTAGCAGGGAATATATGATGGCACTGAGCTTCTACAGTGCAGAACAGAAGCATGACAGCACTGACCCGAACTCCCGGAGCACACTCCCAGTGTGCGGGTCCCAGACAATGACACGAGTATCGTACGAGGCAGTTGCCAGTAAGGCTCCATCAGGTGAGAACTCGCAGGACACCACATCATTATGATGGCCCTCCAGCTTCCGGATCAGCGTGTACTTATCCATGTTCCACAGGAACACCTGGAAGGAAGAACAGCTGTGTTATAGCACACTGTCCACCGCACAGCAGAGAATGTAACGTTTTAAATATAATTCTTTTAAAATAATCATTAAGATTACAAATTCAAATCTCAAATTACAAATCAGGCATTCTGAATTAAAAATATGCTCAGTGTCATTTTTATATATTTAAAGAAATATGTACAGTACATGCTAAATAAGCAGCAGAGCTATATTTAAACAAATGCATAGGGCTTTCTCTTAACAGGTTTGGTCAAACTTAACACCCACAAAAGGTGGCTTTTCCATTGGCATTTCTGTCTTCTATAATTGCATTTTGTCAAAATAATTAATGCTATGATAGATACAACAAGTGAAGGATCACAAAAAGAACTACAATCCTTCCAAGATTAACTACAGAAAGTTGAGAAAAAAAATATACAAACAAGTAGTAACTTAAGGTAACATATTGTTACTCCACTGGTTTCCCCTTTCAGTGTTTTAGTTCACTTGTGATTACAATAGGCTCGCACCGCCAGTGGAAGCCTACGAAGAGAAACATACTGCAAGAGAAAAGAAGATTTGATGGCCAAAAGGTAGACGCCCTTGGCAAACAATTGCAACATGCAACAAACTGCACAGTTTCACCATTCAGAAACACTGGTTTCTGATGCTTGTTGGCTCAGGTGCAATGCTTTAGTGAAAACATGAGAATAACAGCTCAGACCGGCCACATTTAAATTGCCTCTTCATTTTTAAACTGAAAAATATTGCTTCTGATTTGTAAATTTAGTTTACAATATATTATGAATAGTCAGGATGCCCACTTCAGGAATATTCTTTTGAAAGTGACCCTGCAGTACTGGATGTATTTCAGGCAAAGAAAGAAAAATTGTAGAAATGAATAGTTTGGGGATTTTTTTTAGATTCAGCGGTGTTCCAAGATTTTTTATCAATTAATGTCTACCCAATACTGACTAATCTGGTATCCAATCAAGATATAAAGTCACATGTATCATGACAAAAATTCTTCAATACTAGACGTTCATTGTAAATACCACTACATTGCACTTGAGCAAAAGCTTTGAATGTCTAAATTGACATTTACTTAATACTATACATTATACTACTGCGTCTGCCGCAGCACAATAACTTAAAACATAAGTCTGACTTTTCATTCTTTGAACTTGGCATTAAATCATACTAATAAAGCAATGAAACAAAAGGGCTCAAAACACTTGGAGGACTGTCAGCATTTCAGCCCACTCTTCCCCAGCAGAAGGAATCACTGTTTCAGACACCCTCTCTAAAACCTGAACTGTAACCCAAACTGAGCACCGATGAAACATAAATCATTTTAAAAATGCCAACAAAACAGAGATCTGAAGCCAGGAAATGCTTAAGTAGCATTAAATGTTGATCTCCTTTTCTTTAGTAAATCTAGTAATGTGAAATAAAACATTACTTTATAACATTAAAGATGGGCTGTGGCCATTTTTGAAAAAAGCACTAAAAGCTTTTACAATGGAGGACCAATATGGCACTACTCTTGTAGTGCCTTTTTATACATACAGCACAACAGTAACCAAATATTAAGTTAAAACAAAACATAAAACCTGACATTACACAAGTCACAGGCCTTGAAAGAGGTCAATTATAACAATTGGGAATCATCTGCCTTTGCATCATGTTTGCAGCCCAAACAGTGTCCTTATTAGGTTCTGCCAGATAACTGGGACAAAGGCAGACAGAAATGCAAGCAGTCTGCCAGTGCACAAAGAACCCTTTCACTCCTGAATTATACCGAGAACTGCCTATTCCTTGAGTAAATACCTCAATTCCAAAACTGCCACTGAGAAGACTGTGAGACAACTGACTGCTGAACAACACTTAACGCACTGGCTCAGACTTGGGTGCCTCACTAAGCATCAGCGCTAATGGACAGGATATGAAGAGTAGGTTTGTTTCTACAGTTACTGTCAAAAAGGAGTACATTTCTATGCATTTCAAAGGAATCAAGATTCCAGGTGTACCACCCAGATGGCACTTCGAATTTCCCTATAGAACTACAAATAAGCGTCTACCCAGATACAACGATGGCTCAGATTATACACTGCCCTGTTCTCCTCCTGCGCCTGCTATTTCAGGTCTCAGAAAACGGTGCGAAATTGAAGCGAACGGTTAAAGACGTTGCCGTGGTGGGGGGGTGGGTGTTGGGGGATGGGGGGTTTAATAAACAATTATAAAACAGCAGAGGAGGTGGACATGTATCGGCACCTACGTACAGTAAACCTTGCTGTCAGGAGCAAGGCTACCTCCCGGCACGGGCACAGAGCGTCCCACGCGCGATGGCAGCCATGCCACTCCCTCAGCACCGGCTACTCAATGTGAGCGCGGCGCTCCTTTCAAAACCTCAATCACACCACACTGTGCTGCCACCACCTGGGACAGGGAAAGCAAGACACTTATGGAGAAACAACCTAAAAAAAAAAACCTCGGGCTAAAAAAAAAAAAATCAAGTTCATTGCCTTCTGTTTAAAGTAAATATGCATGACAATTTCTGGTTGAGAGGCTGGTCGGTTACACTGTCTCCCTTCCTTGCAGCCATTGTTTCACACATGCGAAAGACTGGTCTTATACAGGAAAGCCTACGGGCCGTCCCGCATGGTCTAACTTATACTGGTGCATTCAACTGGCTGCAAAAAAAAAAAGGCTTGGCATCGCAGTGTTTCTAATTTTTTCAGTTTATCAAAAATAAAAGACTGTGCGCATCTTATCAAGGCCTGCAAATAAAAGCTTTAAAACTGCCATTCTGAAAAGCAGATTATGATCCAGCTCACCCTCACAAACGTAAGTTTCGAGGATGCATATTAAATAAATAGCCTTATAATTCACTAAATACAAGGGGTACTGGAGTCATTGCACAGCTGTGATACAATATCATTACTACTGTTGGCATGCACATTCTATTTACAAAGCCATTTCAAATAAAAAAATACATCAAGCAGAATAGAGAACACACATCATGACACCGAGCAAAGTTGTGTATATTTCAGTTTTCATTGGTAAATTATTCTGCAGAATTAAGCACAAGCAGCCCATTCCAGACCATCACAGCTCAGTCAGGAGGGGAGAGGAGAGGGAACTTCAGGACGTACCGCTTTACCTGCCCCCACCGAGCACAGAACCGAGGAGTCGGGGGAGAACGCGCAGCAGTACACCCAGTTCTGATGGCCCCTCAGGACTTTCACCATGTTTCCTGCAAGACAAGGCACAGCCTCATGACGGCCAGCTCGTAACTGCGATCTCACCCATCTTTTCTTTCCTTCCACCTCTACTTTGAAGCAGTTATTTCATTTTCAAAACTGGGGAAAAACGGCAAGGATCCAAACTCAAATGAAGAGCAAAAAGAATTGCTTATTTTAAGAAGTGGATAATCCCTTCTAGAGACGTCAGACTCATTTTGCCTTATGTGGTAGTTATACTTCTTGGAGCCCCACTACTTTCGATGGGGAGTCAGCACAGCCTGCAGTCTGGCAACACACTGACTTTTCAGCAGGGCAAACTGATATACGAGTATGCAACTGATTAACAGACTTGTCCTTGAAATGGATCCTTATGGGGAGGGCAGGTCTAGTTTTGCTCAGAACTGCTATTGGCAAACAACTATTAAGAAAAAATAGAAATAGGTTATCACCCTGCCCTTGGCAAACAGAGCTCCTTATTAAAGCCACAGGAAATTTACATTGCTGGAAATGGTTTGACTTGGCAGGCGTTTCAGTTTAAACCTGGATCACAAACTTTGAAAAGGAGCTGTATACGAAACCCTGTACGAGTTCATGCATTTAAATGGCACTTCTCTGCAGCCACAAGAGAGAAAATATTCGAAAGGTTACTGGTGGGGGGCAGGAGGAGGGAACAGAGCTCACAGCCAAAAACAATGTTATCACCCAGAGGGGATGCACCTAACAGTGAAGGCAAAATAACACATATGGGGAGACAGTGTAACAACATTTGGCAAGCATCTTCCAAACAGGAGTTGGCAGAGAGGATCCTGACACCACAGGAGTCTACTGTGCAAACATACAGAGCACAAGGCATCTTTAAACAATTCTAGATCTCAGCAACAAGGAAAGCTCTGATCGTTCACACTACATTTTAACTTGTGCAGAAACAAAGCAGTACAGAAAGACACGGAGATAAAAGCGCTTTAAAAAAAAAGGACAAGTAAAAAAATTCCTTTTCCAGAATGTAAAAACATTTTTAACGCCTTGTAAGACAAGACTCTGGCACTCACCATCGTCCTTCAGGTCCCAGACTCGCAGAGTTTTGTCTTTGGAGGCAGACACTAACATAAGGCTTCCATCCGGAGCAAAGGTCAGGTCGCGCACAAGTTCTGTGTGGTCCATCAAGTTTAGCAACAGCTTACCTGCACACAAAAAAAACAAAATCGCTGCTTGAATATCCAATGCACTTTTGTCTTTCAAGTTCATTCACTTTATGCTTTTGATTGCTCCATTTTTATTAAATGAAAAGAGGGGGGGGGAAGCATAAATAAAAGCAAGCTTACATATTGCATTACTTCAAAGGTTTTTTTGCTAGTTTCAAAATCGCATAAGTTATACTTCCGTAAAATCACTAGGTCCAAATTCATTACTACAAACTTACATTTCTGTATCCGTGAAACAGAATCTAAATAAACCTACTTGCAATTTTTAAATTAAGACAAAAAGTGAGCTTGCCAACATGCAAGTCAAAACAAACCATCAGGAAACACAAAAGGTGGTTTGTCTCGACGTCGAGGCAGAGTGATCCGAGTTGACACATTAATCCTTCTCAGCAAAAGATTTGTAGCTGCACCTCGCTATAATAGCATTTAAAGACCTACTTTGGGATCAGATTACCAAAATGCTTTTTAAAGCATTACAAACACTTGCCTAGCAGTTATGAAAATGTACACGTCTTTTAAATGAAATGAGGATCTAACCTTACTAATTTTCTAAAAATAAACTCATTTGTCTTGCCCTGAGAAGTCCACAAATCAAAGAAAAACACCTCCTGCAGAAAATGTCAGCAATTACACTGCTTTAATACCGCAGATCTAGGCAGTACAGTACAAGGAGCTATGCTCAATTTATTACATAGAGTGCAATTAAGATAAAATACCTACAAGGTCTTTCTACACCATCACCCCTGTTACCCTCAGCACCCACAAAACATCCAATACTACACATCCACGTTAATTACCTGATTAATGTGAATACTAAAAAAAGCATGTTAAGTATTTCACAAAACACCAATTCAAAAAACATTAAATAAAATTGTCAGTTTCTGCTTCGAACTGGATTGCATTAGCGAATGTAATGTAATGAACTACATTATCAGCCAATCACAGCTGTGATATGGGACCCGCCCCTGTAAGCACAATTACTGTACTCCACAGCTGGCGAGTAATCACAGGGACAGAACCCTGCCAGCGTGGCAATCTAGCCAGCATTCACCTCCGCCACAGCCAGATGTGCAAACCGGGATTTCTGCAGCTTAAAAAACGGGTCATGTGTTTGTTAACTCCCCATAACCCCAAATGAGGAAAAAGAAAATCCTTTGATCTCTACTGTTGCCGCACACTACGGTAAATGGCAAAGAGGTAGGTTGTGACAAGTGTATTTAAACAAAACCTCCGAAGCTCAGTAAGGTATTTTAATATCAGAGGTGCATTTCAACACACCATCGCAAACACGTCTCATCTTCCAACTTCCCAAATTAAAAGGCTGGGAGGTGACACAGGTTTATCTAATTTAAATGTAATTTCGCAGTCGAAAGCATTTCCTCCAAAAAGACCCTGGAAATCTTTCTGTACGCGTGCCTGTTGTCAGGAATGGTTGGGAAACTGGTGCAGTATTTCACAGCTCAGTGCGGCCTCACGTACGCAGTGGGAGATCTGGGTAAGCATTAACAGTGCTGACAGGACAGTACAGATCCCTGCACAAATACACATTCAGGTGTGTCTGGTAAACGCACTGTCCCGCACGTCAGCTCCTTACATCATCAGTGCTACTGCAGAAAAACAGGAAGGCAGCCACAGGAACGAAAGGACAGCTTAAAGGGGCCAGTTTCCCTACCTGCATAATAACTCAGTCTTTGTATATCATACTGTCGGTGAACTGCTTTTTATTCCAGAAGGATGACTAAAAAAAAGCTCATAATATTATTCTAGAAATAACACATTCAAAACCATAATAACAGATGGTAAGGATTTCCTAAACAGATCAGAAGATCCTACTCTAATCAGTGTTTCATAAAAAATATGCTCAATTATGCTTTTAAATACGCTCAATGGCAGAAAACAAGAGCCATATTATTTGGTGAATGCATTTTTAAAGATACTAGCTTAAGATAAAGAATGTGTTTATTTATGGTTTTGGAAAAAATGTATGAGTTTTTGCTTATGTATTTAGATGTTTTTTTAAAAGAAAAAGCAGATTTAAGTAATCCATTTTCTTCCTCCTCAGGATCTCCTAAATGAAAGCAATCTGCTTCCTGCAGTCACTTACAACAGGAGCTTTAAAATGTTTAATTGACGGAGAAGACTGGGCAGCAGTAAGGAGCAGTGGTCAGGGTTCTGAACTCATAACTGGGAGGTTCGAGCAAAATACTTCACTCAAATTATTCCAGTGAAGTACTCATCTACACAAATGGATGTAGAGAGTATTTTACAAGACGTAACACACGTTGCTTTGGAAAAAAGTGTCTGCCAAATTAGCATCTCCAGCAGCTCAAAAAAAATCTTTTGATGACTGACCAATTTAGAATGATTTGCCTCGTCTTTTTTCAGTACAGGATAAAACGCCATTATTTATCATTGGGAAGATGTAATCTTTTGTCCGAGTATACAAATTGGCTTAAATGTTTTACCTTCATTGAATTAAATTTTGTGAACAGCCTTTAAACGCAGATCTTGGACAGGGCAGTTCCTACTAAACAATTACAGCCAACCTGTGCGCTTTTCTTACCAGTGTACACGTCCCAGATCTTGATGCGCCCGTTGTTGAGGCCGGTGGCCAGCAGGAGCTGGTCCTGGCCGAATCTGAAGCGGTGCCACTCGATGTTGACGCAGCGGCTCTGCTTCTCGGGAACGGAGGAGCCGAACGCCAGCCCCCACACGATGTCGCCGCAGTCGATGGTGTGCTCCCGCGGCACGTTCTTCTGCAGCTGCCCATCGCTGTTCTGCCTCGACAGGCGCCGGGACCCTGCCGCGCTGGAGAGATCAGTGCTGCCCACGGAGCTGCGGACGGAAAAGAAAGCAAGGTTATAAACGTCCTACTCCACAGCAGCTCAGCTTTGCACCCCCACCTCCCACAAAAAACTAATTTTCATTATTTGATTAAGACCGTAGACGATCTTCCTCCCCAAATCATATGATTATTAAAGCAAATAAAACTGTATAGTTTATAGCTCTGCTAAGTGCCCTGAAACTTTAGAATGTCAGAAATCTTTCCTGTGCCCTTGCACTAAAACAAATTTGTTGTTGCGGTTAGCTTCTCCATTCAGTACAAAGATGCATGCCATTTGAGATCCAAGTCTTGTTCAAAACACAGCTCTGCGGAACCTGAGGCATTTGAATCAATAACCCAGTTTAAATCCAAACCTTCTTTGCCGTGTCCGAAGGCAGATTACATGGTGAAATATTAATATTCTGCTGTAGGACTGGCCCCAGTGATTGCTCAAAAAACAGCTGACTGGAATGTTTGACCATACACTGTGACTCACTCCGTTTGGCAAACGCAGAAGCCACAAACTAAAATGCTTAAAATCGCTGGAAAGGGGGCGTTCCGTCTTCAATTTGTTCAAATGCAATCTGAGCCACCAAACAAATCAAGTTCTAGAAGTTTCACATAAGCCAATTGTGCAAGAAGAGCAGGCTCTACATAAGGACACAGAAAAGGCACAAGACCCTCAGCACTGTTTTCACTTTCACACTGGTTCCTTTATTTGATGAGAGCCAAAAAAAACAATGAACTTGTGACTCTTTACAAAAATGTAAACATCTGGAATCAATTCCAACAAGTAGCACCCAGTTGAGAAGTTTTTCTTTTTGAACGTAGGTTCATACCTTTGTTCTGGGATTTGAAGAAACTGCTTTCTGTACAAGAAACAAAAGGATAATCTGTGGCACAGTTGCTTCAGCAGCTGAGTTAACCAAACAAAGAGCATAACAGATAACAGTACTGCAGACGAAAATGTACTTACAACTTACTCATGTGATAAGCTTCTGAATAAATATTTTACCAAAGGATACAGATCAAGATTGTTACACAAACTCTAAACACCAAACTAGCTAACCCTATAGAGATACACAAGGAACTATTTTAATCAGCCTACGGATTTTAGCTTACACAAAACGACCATTAGTGCTGCTAAGAAGTTCAAGGATCATTTTAAAACTAAATAAGACAGCTCTCCTACTTTCATTTAGAAACCAGACAAGTTTCTTTGTTGCCAAACAAAACTGCAGAGCCACAGCCCTTTGTTAAACATTCACAACATGTTGCAAGGTGATAGCACAACCAATCTAGACTGGAGAAGGATCATTGTTTTACAACTGCTTCTATCTGAATTTTAAAAAATAAATCACCACGACCGGCAATAAAACAAGTCAGTTATTGGACAAATAAATGAGAGGACTAGTGAAAAGCCCACATCAAACAAACTCATGGGTGGAAGCTAACACTGCAGTTTAAAAGTCTCCAAGCGAATGAAGCTACTCAACATGAGTTGTAGGTAGAACATCTACTCTTACTCGCTAGAAAACATATTGATCTGCTGAAACCTGTCCGGAGAAAAACAACCAAGTGCATTCTGGGCATTTAAGGAACGTCCTACACTGACAGGCAGAAGGAACTGAAACCTTTTAGCCGGCAGCAGAAAAGGCTGATCAAGCACTCCAAAGCCTCAAAGGCATCGACAAAGTTGACGCAGTGCACTTTTTCCACAAACTTTGAAACATGAACCAGAGGTTAAGTAAAAACTACATGGGAGTGCATTCAAAATAGTACATTTTTCCCTTGCAAAACAATTACATTTTCAAACTTAAAAATTGTCATTTTGGAATTTGCTGCATATCCTAACACCATTTATTTTCCAAATAAAATATATGTATCATTCAACTTAACTTTGGAATTCTACCTACTTCAACCTGTGTCTTCAGAATCTTTATTTAAAAAATAAGGCTATTTCTCATCTCGGAACGAATGAAATTGCTTCAGAACGACATTGCTGACATAAAAAGGAAAATAATGCATGCTGTATTCAAAAGACTACGTCTTTGGTTGGAAGGTTAGAATCTCCCAAACTTGCTCGATAAAGTGACTTTGGTGCCTAATGAAAAGCTGCATTCACAGCTGAACTAGGGGCACTAGGCAACTTGATCTGTTCAGCCTTTTGTAACAGCACAGTAAGGCCAGACCCAACAGAACAAGCCAACTCCAGGCAACTGGGACAGTACATAAAAGAGCTGAACACTGGACAAATACACTGCCAGCTGCCAAATGAATGCCCACTTGGCTCGACAGCAGACAACTGCACGCGCCTTTATTATTTCACTGAACTGCAACATTCCCTGGTTCAGCCAGTTTACAGTGCAGATGGCCGGCGATGCAGTCCTACTAGCGGCTTGGCCTTCTGATGTTACCACAATAAGAAGTTTATCCTTCAGCATTCTTAAGTAGTACGTTCACACTTCAGTCAAGTGTACAACAAAGGGTTTGTGACCCTAGTCAGAAGCCGGAGACTCCTAGTCGTGGTTTGGTCTGTGTGGATTGCTGGCATGCGTAGCATCACACTTACAAGTTGCTCAGGCATGATGTCCACGGTACAAGCCTCACGACGCGATGCCCTTGAGACCAAGCGAAGTAGGAACCATCTGGAGCAAAAGCCACAGTCCAGGTCTCCCGCCCGGACTTCTGATCGAAAGGAGCAACCGGCACTAGAAGTTCCCCAATGAACTGAGCCTTGGCTGCGGGCAAAGACGGAGAGATCAGAGCTGTGGGATCGATGCCACGAGAACACCGTGCACGATCACGAGAGGCGCTGGCCACGGGCGAGGTCAGACGCAAAGGGCACGTCCAGCTTCAACAAGTGAAGAGTGAACAAACCATTCGGAGGCTAAAACATTAAATGCAAACAGGTGAGCATTTAAGGACCCCAACCCCCCCCCCACACACACACAGGTAAGTAAGACTTGTCACCCAGCTTAATGAACCAGGACCTGCGCTTAGCTTTGGAGAGCTGCTGTGGCTCTGCCAATGCAAGAGGGAGAGCAAGAACATTCACAGGCTGGAGAATTGCAACAGCAGCCTTATGGCTAAACCTATTAACTAGTGAAATCTGTTAACGTGTCCACAAAGCATAGCCGGACCTTGCACAGCCCTGCAGGTTTACAGGTTTCATAGCAGGGGAAGGAGATTAACAAGTGACTTTTCCAGGAATTTCAGCACTGAAGCAGAAGTACACGCTAGGTACTTTAGTCACGTGTTAAGGTGGGTTTTCAGGGCTCCTTATTGTCTAACCCATTGGTTTCGCCAGATCTGTTTTCTCACTTGGGTTGGGAAAAAAAGGTATTTTCTTAAATAAATGATAACTCTAGAAATAGAACTGCAGTATTTCACGTGAATTATTTTTTTTACATTAACTTACGTCTAAACAAATTAATGAGCTTTAAACTTTTTGGCCATTTAATAAAGTATGAACAGAACAGGAGCAGGACATCAGTTCTAATTCCTGCAGTTGTCAGGCCATTTCTTTCACAATTACAGCACTGCTGAACCCCGTTTTAAAATAGTTGATATTTTCTACCGCAAACTTAATCCAAAACCCAAAGGACATCAATACAAAGTATGTTTTTGTTCTATCATTTTAATAAATGGTAAGAAAATAGAAGAAATAGACTTATTTCCCTCGGTTATTTGTACTGCTTAGTCTTTCGCGTGCTTACACGTAATGATCCTCAATGTTACGCCCTTAACCAAGCTGAACTGCACACGGAAAAACCGCTTTCATGTCGCCTCCAGCTCCAAACTGGCGAAATAATCGTTAGACAAATAACTAGACATAGATCATAAAGAACCCGGTGTCGTTTTATTTTTAACCAGGGGCGAAAACCAGAAGGATTTCGGAACACTGCAGCCACCAGACGACGGCCTCTCGTCGGTCCATTTCATTCACGATGGCGTAGGCCCTCGGGGTACAGCAAAGGGGGGGTAGGGTATTAATATTTGCTGCGGACTTATAAACAAACGAAAGGCGAGGAGGTGTAGCGGAGCCTCCGTGTTTAGCCCCATGAGTCACGCTGGCGCAAAGCGATAATCGATTGAGCGTCCTCGGGGGGGGTTGAGGGGGGGGGGGGAGGGGAGGGCTGGGCAGGGCCCCGGGTGGGCTCCAGACTGTGTACATGAGAAACCCAGCATCCCTCATGGCTGGTCGCCCCAGCCCCAGCCCCACCGGGGGTCCACAGAGCACCAGGGACACGGCTGTCGACAGGGCTTTCACACACAGAAACACTGAGAAACACCGGGCCGGGAAAGACGAGTTACTACAATATAATCCTCCCCCATCCCTGCACAATTAAAACCATAAAGTGAGATCGTATATTTCAGGAACGGGACGTAATTACAAAAGACTGTAAAAAAAGGCTCTTCGCTTTCAGATCTAATTTGTTCGGGGAGCAAAAGACAGAAATAATAAACGAAATGTCGCACGTCTAGTGTGTTTTAAAGCTATATACCGTGGCTACCTCTGAATTGGAAACTTTTGGCGGCTCAGTTCAGAAATCAAGACGATTCCCAGCTGTACCCCCTCCCTTTCAACCCCAAACCCCACAGATACACTGACATTACAGTATACATGAAGAAGTATAACTTACCTATTTCATTTTCGTTTACAAAATCTGGGAAGCTTGCCATCTAAAAAAGAACTAGTTTCTTAAAAAAATAAAGCGGCGTAACAAATACAAAAATATATATAAATATAAACCTCTCGTATGTAAAATGTAAATGCACGATAGGAGGAAGTAAACTTCCTGGGTTTTTTTTTCTGACGACGTCTGGTCTAGCGAGATATACAGACTAGTCTTAAATTTAAATTTGTTTAATCTACCTCTAAAAAAAGGCAATTTTTTTCTTCGAAAGAGATATGACCACAAAAAACTACGTTTTCCAAAGGAATTACAGCATTCGCACTAAAAAAAATAAACCTTTTTTTTAAAGAATTTGTAAAATTTACTCCCAACACACGACAGCGAACCGCTAGCTACTGCTACGCTATGCTACACTGAGGTATAATGGCCGTTGGCAAAGGCCAAGAATAGGCGGTTAATCCGAACACGTCATTGCAATCACCATGGAGACAGCGCAGACAGGCCCCTCATTCGCGGAGAGAGAAGTTGGTGGGCGGGGCGAAAGGCTCCTGTGTCACATGACTCAGTGACCTGTCCCGCAATCCTGTCGGTGGGTCTTTTCTATTAATAAATGAACGGGACCTATCGCATTTTTTTTAGGTTTATTTATTGGACAGGGATATCTGTATCACGCACATCTTAAGACATAACCAAAAAAGTACCAGACATAAACATATAAAAACAAACAGAAACATATATTATTGTAAATGGAAAACAGATATTAAAATTGTAAAGTGCACAAAAATAGTCATGTTAAATTAATCAATTTCTCAGAAGTTGGAAAAGTCCATTTTCAATAGAATCTCTTTGTGTAAATGTTTTTTTTTCTTATTCAGTTACATCAGTTTTTGTGACTGACTATTATATATTTTTATGTTACCCGACACAGTGAATGGTGTGTTTTTGTAAACCCTACAGCTGAAATAAATCAGGTTGAGCTTTTTTAAACTATTAAAACAATGCAAAACAATGACTGTAAAATATTAACAGCGTAAAACACTCCGTGCTGAACAGAAACCACTCCAGAGGATGAATACAGGAAAATACAATAAACAAGAAACATGAAAAAGTTTTTTAAAAAGCCTAAAGTAGCATTGAGACACAAAACGTGCAACAATAAAGGCGTAGATGTATCAAAATCTACTTTTTAAAATGGTACAGAAACGTTCCTATTCGTCGTGACCAACACTTTTTTTGTTCTATGTAAAATATGGAGTCGCCACAGTTACACCGGAGCAGCCAGTTGTGTGTTTGCACGTCCAGACTCGCAGTTCAGTCCACCTCTCTACCTCACACGTGGGTGGTTGGGGAGGGGGGGGGGGTAGGAGAATGAGGAAGTGTAGACGGACTCCTCCGGCCCTCGACCACCTTCGAACCAATCGCCTTTCAATACGTCACAGCGGGCACCGCCCCGTGTGGGAGAGCCGCAGCCGATTGGAGGAAAGGGGCGTCCCTCACAACACGCCCTGGAGGCCGGGGGCCATAGGGGTCGCTGTGGAGCCCAGAGCAAAGAGGGCTCAGACCGTAAACTGGGGGGGAGATTAAGTAAGCGTGACGGAAACGGCTCTGGCTAAGAAGGCCCACGACCAGATTTTTAAGAACAGCTACTGGACTCAGAAAATCTTCACGGTATTTGCTAAGTAGTACCCAACATTTTACTGCTAACTTCAACGACCAGGACTGTCTGTAGCCGCCGCTGCCGGTGTCTGTTTGTCCTGTGTGCATTGGATGAATGTATTAATATAGGGCAGCTGCAGGTGACATGTCCGGTATTTACTTTCCCATTAGCTTGTCTAGGGCTGACGCATTCCAGCCGTCGACGGTTACTCTCCAGCTCGGCCCAGGTGTGAATCCAAGTCACCCGGGACCAGAAGTTACCAGCCGCAATGCTACTCTGCTAATCTCCTTGAATTGAACTGCATCAACCTTTATTGCCCCTAAACACATCATGAGCTCATAAACATATGTACCAGAACAATCCAACAACAGTGCAAAACCGTAAGACAAAACACAACAACATCGCTCAGTATCAGCAACAGAACTCTTCCAGTACTGTGAGATTAAAAAAAAAAACAATTGATCTTGTAAAGATTGTGAAAACAATAAACTTCGTTGGAAGGCCTATTTGCTCTTAGGTACATTTCTGCAAAAATATATTATTTATTGGTCTAATGCAACAACATTGACCTTTAATAGTCATTTTGTTTAGCCTGTTCCTCTTACGTTTGTCGTGTTGTCGATCATTAAAATGTTCCCTTAGTAAACGCCACTATTCAGTATGTGGAAATACAATTGAAAGGGATTTACAAATGACTAGAACTGCTTAACGAAGTTCGTAAATGCCTCCGTTAATTAATGCAAACTTGAGAACCGCCAACGAAACTTTATGTCCTGAAATAGAAAAGTACGTGTTTTTTTTTGTCCGATAAACAGATTATTTCTGTTATCGTGGGGTTTCAAGCGCAGTAACACCCAGATGTCCCAAACTCATTTAAACCGGGCAAACCTGAAATATTTCAGAGCTTTTGCACGGTATTTCTGGAACGAACTGATGAATCATACATAGGCAGGGTGTGTGTTTTAACAATATGAAACATTTCTATAAACGGCTCAAGAATATTCTAGAAAGTTCTATTCTAAACCCGGCGAACAGCATTTTTCCGGCCCCGGAGATCGCTGACATTCTTGTTCGGACATCAGCGATGTCCTTGGTGAAAGGCGTTTACTCGCCAATCCCTCGTCTGATTTCCATAGTTAAAATGAACCCGTGTCGTCTGTTTACCAGCAGTATCTTGGAGACCTGTCAGTCAGTACAAAGCCTCGGCTCCAGTCACAGAAAAAATAAAACAGCTGTTTTCCCACTTCGCTTTAATTTCTATGACACGCTGCGTAACAAGTCTTTTTGGTTGTTACCCTGCCTGCTGAAATATCTCAGTTTATTATTTTTGGCACTCTTTCTGAAAAAAATAAGACAGTCCGGTCCTCGCTTTTTTTCTAAACGTAAAGATTTTAGATTTGCATTTTTTCAACACTGTCCAGCAGAGGGCGCAGGAGAGGAGTTTGCCCAAGCGCGTACAGTTCAGTTTTGAGGTCATCGTCCAGTTGGCATGTGTCCCCCTTCCGTGAGATGCCAGTTATTCCCCTTGAGGAAACATAACACCTTCCCATCTGTCTTGCAAAGTTCATCCTGCATGCCCATTAAATACCGCACCAAGAAGACGGTCATACTGGATAATGCCTACCAGTAAATTCAACCATAGCCGTGGCGTACTTTATAAAAGTTAGGTTAGGTAACAGCGAGGTCTTGAAGTCAGATATCCTATCACGCGAGGAATGTGGAGAGCTGCGAGCTCACTGGTTTTTACACATTGCCGACAGCTGGAATTTCAAGTGGTTTCTTCTGATAACTAGTATTACTAGTGTATAAAAAGGGAAATTAGCGCACAGATCGGGAAAAGAAAACGTATGCGGAGGTGTCTGGGGTTCCTGTTCCGTTTGTCCTTCCCCTGGGCTAGCTGTTTCTTATTTCATCTGTGGTGCTCTGGCTCCGCCTGTTGAGGTTGGACCGCAGTGCATGTCCTGCAGAAGGACGGCCCGCACCGGAGGCGGGCAGCAGACCTCCTCGTTCATAAAACGCTTCCTTAAAAACTAAAACGGCGTGCCTCTGTTAAAAGTCCAGTGAAGATACTTGAGTGCCAGTAGTAAGGAAGCACCAGATTGTTGTGAAAGGTATCCCATTGGACTGGGTTTTCTTTAAACCTAATAATAATACAGAATAAATGCTTACACTTATGTAGTGCTTTACTGGACTCTCCAGTCAAAGCTCTTTACAGGTAATGGGGATCCCCTCCACCACCACCACCAGTGTGCAGCCCCCACCTGGATGATGCGACGGCAGCCCTAGTTCAGAGATGGGGATTATTAGGAGACCATGATTAGTAAACACCAGGGGGGACATGCCTAGACCGTTCTTTCCGACATTTAAAAAAAAATAAATTGTATTCCCTGGACCATAGTGCAAAACATTTTATTAGGAATTGTAACTCAAACTATTTTAATTCTCAAACGTTCAACAACTGAAATGACACTGCAGGTACAGTTAGATTCTGTTCTTTGTGGTTCGGATGCTGTCTAAAATGTATAAATTCTGACACGGTGCTAAAATCGATACTGAAACTCCACGCAATTCCATTTACAGTATGTAGATCAGGATGTCTCAGTGCGTTAGCCCATGAGTTGCAGTAGACCCGAAATGGCGATTTCGCCGCGGCAGGCTTGAAAGAGTGTCTGTTTTATTTTTAGATCTCGAGAAAGCGCGTTATTGTTAAGTGATAATCTCGTTCTTGCGGGACGATTTTTCTCGCTCTTCGCTGTGTTTAGTGCCGTTTTGTCTAGACTGCAATTCCTCAGCCCCCCCCCCAAACCGCAAAGCTCTGTGTCTTTTCTAGAAATAAGAGCACGGGGTCAGCGGTTTCCTTTCCGTATGTTTAAGATGATATCATGTCAGCGAGGAAGGTGATCTGAGTCATCGTGATTCATTGTTGTTATACCTGACGTTAACATTTCCCCCTGTGAAATTCACGTGTTTGGGACCGGCCTCCGTCACGCTTTGACTGAAATGTTTTGCCTTTTTAATATTAGGTTTTTATTTAAACATTAGTAAAACAAGAAAGGAGACAACATTAAAACAGATACAAAAATAGGCTCACTTCACAGCCAGAGAAATTCACAATTACAAAAACTGAAAATGAAACTTTTTACATAATTCCATTGTATGTCTTGCCTTTTGAATCTACATTTCTAATAGAATTTAAATAAAAAAGGAATTATTTCCCGCAAAAGCGTTAAGAGGGGGGGAATTTACTTTTGTGGATGAAGTATTTCGCCAAAATAATGAACAAATTCTAAAAACATATCCTTTATCCAAATCTGGTCTAATAAAATCTAAAATATTTTCGAAATCTCTCAAATTAACATTTAACTTTAAATATTTAACAATAACATTGTGCAAGTCTATCCAAAACAATTCTGTATATGTGCAATTAACACATGTAACGATTCCTTCTCATTATTACAAAATACTCATGTCATCTTGTTCGTCTTTAAATCTAGAAAGTCAATTTAACAGGATAAAACGGAACTTTTTTTCTTCAGCCGCTTGAGATCTGCCTGCGAGTCTCCCTATCATTTCATTCCCGTGAAATTCCCCCCTGCAACGGCCTTTTAACTGTCGCAGTCCAAATCAGTATTTTAACAAGGCCACACGCTCTATAAACGTTTTAACAGATAAAACGCGTCATTTCCTAATATCCAGACGCTGCTGTGAGAACATGTTCGGTGCTGAAATGTCTGTCCCAGCTGTGACCAGCCCAGTGAGACTCAGCGCCCTGTGGCGGCAGATGAGCAAATCTCATCTCTCTTCTTTAGAGTGGAATCGATATCATCATCGTCATCATTGTAGGTACCAATATTATGACAATATCACCAGTTTAATAGCTTTGCACGATGTTACCAGGGCCGAGCCAGGTTGAGTTGATGTTCGTACTGCAATAATAGGTTTGAAATGATGAAAATCGGGAGGCGGACTCAGGATTCCCACGTCCTACAACATTCTCATTCACATAATATTTTTTCTCGCTTCTTTTATTTCATTCAGCTGCGGCCGGCGGTCTGCGTGCTATTGTTGTCCGGCTGTGCAGGCGCTTCTGTTCCGGGAGCCGGCAGTCGGCGTCATCCCGAATTCCCTTTCGGAATGCAAGTCTCCCCCTCCCTCCATTCACGTTTTTTCGTCCTCCCATAGAAGAAAACCAGAGCTCAGCCCAGCCGATGCATCGGATCACCGGGCTTGTGTGTTTTTTTTCTCGCGTTGCCGTTATCAATGAAAGCGTAATTCGCACCTTTGTCCACTAGGGGCAGTGTCGTATCAGCAATGCGGTGGAAACCGGCGGCTGCGGAAAGCGCTGCCCAGTCAGCCAGCGGAGCGCAGCTCAGTCTTGAATGGCTGGCGACTGCAGGGATGTTATGAATGAAAAAGGTCTGTCGGATGTGCCCTCGCTGGTTTCTCTATGATCGGTGCTTTCCTGCAGCAGCGATCGGATACAGCGGGGCTTTACAGAGTCGTTTATAGGTTACCATAAGTTAGCAAAATCTGCCAATTTGTGCACGCACAGCCACGTTGCTGAAGCTACTACACACAAAAAAAAAATGCAAAACGCGAGCACGGAAGAATATTGTGCGACCCGAAGAGACAGGCTCCCGAGATCGCTGGAAAGATGAATTCTTAACGAACTGGGAGCGAGTAAATGCTGTTAACATTCGCGATAAGCTCTCTGAATACACACTTAAATGCGCAAATAGTTAAAGACTCGTCAAAGGGTTAATCAGGTTGTGCTGGTCTTAAGGGAACACAAAATAAATCTTTGGTACCTATTCTATTTCACACGGATATGTCTATTTCACACAAATAAGAAAGCTGGTTCTAGTGTACTTACATCTAGGACAATTATCACGCTCTTGGTGATTTTAACTGTGGTCTGTCACGGGTGAGTTATCTAAAGACCTGCTTATAGCTTTGTTCTGATCCCACCCTTTTAAGTTATTTTGCCGTCCTTCGTGTGAAACAGCACCCCCTTTCGCCGGGGGTGGGAATTGCAACTGCATGGCCCAAACCCACACTAAAGGGCTTCAGATATTTTTCTCACTGTTACTTTGCACAGTGCGAACAACAAACAAACAGGCCGGGATGACTTGAGTTAGTGCTTCACCAGAAACAGAAATGTTAGTGTGTCTGCAGACATCCCCTGACTTGAGTTTGGAAACTGCAGATGACCTACCGTTTCATGCCAGAGTGCTGCCTTAATTCCGCCTCAATCTGTCACTGCTGTTTACAGAGTCTCCTCTGAACTCAGAAACATATCTTTCCAGTGTTCCAGCAGCAACCAGGATGCTTGTCTGTTTTTCCTGATGTTGTCCTTACAGCATTCTTCAGATTAGTTTAATTAATTCAATTTGCCGCATGTGATGGGAAAATGACTTCAGCAGCAATAGGCAGGAGAAGGGGTACAGAGTCTTAATTCACACAACCCCAGTACTGTGAGAGAGTCCTTAACTCCTTCAAGTCAGGATTGTCGGTCCTCTCCGGTGTGACATGAGACGAGAGGCCACAGCAGTACAGCTGGTTCATAGCAGAAAAATGCATGGAAATCACATTTCTTTTTAATATAACACCCTTGTGGTTAGTGTGCAAAGATTATAGCCATGTTCCCACGTTTAAAAAACAAACTATACATGTTTAACAAGGCTTCAGAAACATGATACTATACCTGTAATACAGACAACTGCAAGGAAATGTTAGAACTCGATCAGTAACCAAAGACTTTCCATTCATTCTGCCTTCGTCAGCCTTCCCCCCCGCAACAGGGAGGATTTTCGAGTTTCTGCTGTGCTGTTACTCTTCCAGTGTCGCCGGAGTGAAAATCCAGGAGTGTTTGTTTTAACAAGCAAGCAGCAGGCGCCAGCCGGGGTCAAGCCTGGACAGGACAGCAGTCCATCACAGGGCAGACACACAAACGCAAACGCACACTCACACCACGGCCAATTTGGTCCAGCAGCCAATTAACTTACCGGAATGTTTTGGGACGGTGGGAGAGGAAACCCATGCAAACACAATGACAGCATACAGACTCCACACAGACAGCAGCCCAGGTCTGGAAATTAACCCAGTGCCCCCGATGAAATGCTAACCACTGTGTCACCCTAGTCCCCATCAGTCCCATTTAATATAGCCTATAGGATTGTTTAATATATTGCAGGGTATCATTCTTCACAATAGCTTTATCCAGTTTGGAACATAGAGCAATCCTTTAGAGTTTCTAGGGGCCACATTATGTACTTGTTCTGAATGGAGAGAGCAATTTGTTTAACGAACTCTGACCTTTCGTTTCTCCAAATGTGGACTGGTGTTGTACCTAACCTGTCACTCTCCAGCTGAAGGTATTGAAAATGTATTGAAAATGTTTATTGGGTGTTTTAGTCACAGCGAATTTGGCTCAACCTGCTTGACTGAGGGCCGGACCATCTGCCCAGAGGACGAGGGGGCTGGGACCCCCCTGCAGAGTGAGGGTTGACCGAGGGGCAGCTGCGCAGGTGGGGGTGGGGGTGGGAGGGGGGATGCAGGAGATGAATGCAAGGGAGATAAAGCTTATGTACAGAATAGTTTTCCAATTAGGAAGCGATGTCAGCAATGAGTAAGCTGGGGCAGCTGAGGTGAGTGTCTGCTCTCAGTCCCCCCTGAACGTTCATAATAAACTCCAGTAGCTTTTATTGCAATAACCACATGCGTGCAAATATGCTATTGCATGCGGTGCAACAAATTGATTTGGTATGACAATTATGGAATGGGACACTTCAGTCTTTGGTTTTTTGGGGTGAGGCGCATACAGTTCAGGGTGGACTTCAGCAATTTCGTTGCCTGAAACTCGGAGCCCTAGGATAGCTCACTTAACAATGAGGATAAATTGTGTGTTTAAGTTGTGCAACAAGCCAATACCAGGTTTCAGAAACAAGACCAAGGCTGGAGTGCACATACTGTACAGTAGCACTAAGACACATGATAAAGAAAATGGGTAGCATGACAAATAATAGAAAACAAATAATGTCTATTACATAACACTCCGAGACTGTGGAGAGCCTTATCATTGGCTGTGAGAGACTTTCCCACCCTCTACACAGACATTCATTCAGAATTAAACCCCCTAACACACCACAGTCATCGCACTGAAACCTCTGATCATCCTGGAGTACTGCTGTGTTCCCTTTCAGGTTTTTTAAATAAAGGAATACGTAATGCCATCACAATTAATTTACCCCCCCCCCTTCCCCGGCCACCCCCTCTTCCTCAGACCCCAAATCTTTCCCAGCTCATTCCACAGGAAGATGGGGGGGTGACACGCCAGACGACTCGGTTACATAACATCACAAGACAACTGCACATAGCAGCGCACTTCGCGAAGTGGAAGTCGCTCATATTATCCTACTGCAATACAGGTGCTGAAAAAGAGGCTCCCCTCTACCAAAAAAAAAAAAAGAGATTCATAGACACCCCCCTCCCCGCTCTGCTTTCAGTTTAGAAGGAAGAGCTTCGCGTTTAGTCCTAGTCTGGTGGTGTAGTTTATCCCCGGCTGCACATTGTCCCAGCAGCTCGGCGCAGAAATGACATCACTGCTCTACCGTGTCTTTTTCTTTCGTTAATGAAACAACCGAGCAGGGTATAGGGGATGTGTGCCTTGCCCGCTAGCCTGCTCACTCCCTCCTCTCAAGAGTCACATTTTTTTTTTCTCAATTCTTCGCTAGTCTAACCCACCGCACAGATCCCCCGGCGGCGCAAGCGCAGTAGCCGCCCCACCGAGTTCGCTCGCTTGCTGGTCTCATTACGGCTTCACTGGGAAGGAGGATTCAAACTTCCGGTGTGGTGTCATGGCGGCATGTAGTGTCTGCTAAAAAGAAAAAAAAATAACGAACCCCCCCACCGTCCGGGTCTGACAGCGGTTTTCCGAGGACTATAGGGTCGAAAGTGACACACAAAGGCGCTCCTCGGGCTGGGATTGCACGCTAGCCCACCGCGGCTCCTCTCGGCCGGCCATGGCGGCGCACAAGCCCGTGGAGTGGGTTCAGGCCGTAATTAATAGATTCGACGAGCAGGTAAGGAGAGCGGCTCGGATGAGGGGGTCGCAGCCGCTGTCTGCTCGGGGACGGGCGTGTGTCTGCGTGTGCTGCCGTGCGCGGGGGTGGGAGGGCTGAGGCAGAGCCGGGAGATCCCGTTTGGATCCGGGGCTGGGTTGGTGGGCAGAGGATGGGCGATGGAAAATTGATAACCACTCGCCTCGTACTGTAACAAAACCGCAGTGTAGGAGAGAGAGAGAGGAGGGGAAGCATTAGGTAGCGACCATTTGGAAACAAATACAACTATTTTAGCCTGGAACCAGGACAGTTCACATTGCATTAGAGCTTGCACGGGGTTGCTGAAAGGGGATCTGTGTGTGCACACAAATGTGTCTACACGTACGCGATAGTGATTTGGGTTGAGTGTGCAGTGGGATGCAGTTTTCTGAGAGAATTGTTTTTATTATTTCGCTTCCGATTACCATCAGGAGCTAGGGCAGAAAACCGTGTCTTCATAACACAAGGCATGCAAGGGGGAAAAAAAAATACCCAGAGCCATAAATCTGCAGTTTTTCGCCCGTCTCTTTGTGGACGGTATTATTGTGTGCAGACCCAAATCTAGGATGTTGTAAACAACCAGAATTCTCCTTCAAGACTGGTTATACGGGCAGAAAGAGGATGATGAGTCTTTTTTTTGGGGTGGGGGGAGTGTTTCTGATACCCCGCAACAAAGGGTTGTATGAGGATGGCGTGCACGCGTCTGTGTCTTTTTATTTTAAGAATGAAATCCAGCAGCAGAAGCAGCACAGGGCTCTCGGATAGATGGCGTTTTCGCCGATTCGGGCTGCAAAATAACACTTTTATTTCAATTCTGGCGTTCGGTGTTCGCGTCCGTCATGGTGTGGACGAACAGATATTTCCGATTTGCGAGGACAGATGAACGCCGTGTGGAGACGTAGACATATATGTGGATATATTCCTTGACAGCAGCCCTGAAGACCAGCAGTCAAACAGAGCTTTCGTTTTTAGCAATACATCATCGAGTAACTCGGTCGTCTCGGCACAGGCGGCGATGTTAAAACCCTTCTTGAAAATAATTCCTTGCGCGAAGCGGGGGGGGGAATGGGAGATAATTTCCTTCATGTCCATGCCTTTTCTCGCCTTTTTGTCTTCTCTCTATTAAGAAAAACAGCACTGCTCTTTTTAACATACCCCTGTATGTTCCGACCCGCTATTTTCTGCTCGATATCCAGGCTTTCAGAAAATTCTTCGCTACTCGGCGAAAGAGCGTCATCTACCCACACATAACATGATGCTGAGACTTTACCCTGTAGATGCATGGCGTACGGTGCAAGGATTTTTGTTGTGAAAACGTTTTGTGGTAACCTCTCCCCCCTCATCTCCTTGCGTATGTTTTTTCGGTTTTTCAGATGTTCTGAAACAATATTGCTTAACTTAACCTTATGACCTAACATCACTACAGACCGGATCGCCGTGCTTCCTTGGGGAAATGGGTTCAAAGATAAAATGAAGATTATTTTTTGCGATAACGGGTGTACGGTCTTGCAGAACTACAGTGTGTAAACTAAATTTGGAAAGTGTCGACAGAGGCAAGCCTGCGTGTCCTTCAAACAATCTTTTGAGGGTTTTGCTGTTTTTGGAGCTGAAGTGTTATTGTTTTAATAGCCACTTTAAACGTCTGTTTCTAAAACAAAATGCTCATATTATAGCGATATCTCTGAATGCGATTGACAGAAAAATGGGGCATCTAACGCCCTGCTGCTATTAACTAGTGGAATCTCTTGATTTACCAGCAGAGTATATTGCTCTTGTAGCAGTGCTAGAAAACAATTTTAAGATACCCATCATCATCAGTTTTACATTAAGGGTAATTATACACTGTAACTGAGCTGCAGGTGCTTTCCTTGTAGAAATGGAGACCTGTTTTGGTTTCTGTATCAATACCGATGCTGAAACCACATTTATTTTCAGTTTGTTGATACGAATCTCTGATTGAATGAATCCTCTGAGTTTCAGTAAATAAATCCGTAGTCGGGGAGAGACTTTGTGGTAGCAGAGTTCAAAAGCTTGAGGTGTTTTGGTGTACTTAATAATTTCATGAGGTTTGTTTGACAAACCTGCACATTTCCCCCCCAGATCTTTATATCTTCAGTTCTTCTCGTGTGCGTTATGGCACTGGCTGCCCGTTGTGTTTTGTGTTGTTTTTTTTCGAACCCTTTTGCAGGATTGTCCGAGCTGGAGAGCCCCGTGCGGGTTCACAGTTGGGGTTTTCAGCCCCTTGAACGAAAGCGCGTTTGGACAGTGATGCTTAGGCAGGAGACCGTGGTCAGAGGATGGCCGGTCCTCGTCCTTTTTTATTCCTCTATGTCGGGCCCAGGTGATCTGACCTGGGGGGAGGGACATGTCTCTGGTTTCGTTCTTCTTTCGACTCATCCGGGGGGGTGGTGGGGTGGTGAGGTGAGTCTCGATCGGTGAAGTGGAGCAGCAAAGCCAAACGTGCTGGACCGCAAGCTGATGTACAGCAGCCGTCTGAAGAGGAGGATTTTCTTCAGCTGAGGAGCTGTCTCTGATCACTGGGTCTGGACGGCGGAGGAGATGTGCTGTCTCTCCTTTGCGGGGGGCGGGGGGCTGCATTTTTGGAGGCGTGGTGGTCCGTCCCGTGACATCACAGGCACGCCAGACCGCTGGGTCGTCTTGCTCTGCGCCACCCGGTCCGTTCCTGGACTCAGCACTAGTACTCACCCTCGCCATCCTCCCCATACATGGAGCTGACTGCAACGCAGGCTGTGACGACTGAACACTTCATGTGGCTTCGCACGCTGGTGACGAGGCCGGGTGGCTGCAGGGAGCTCTGTGGAGTTGTCCGTGGTTTGGGTGGGTGCAGGAGTCACTGCCACACTGCCTTCTGTGGTGCTTTTATTGGAGTGCCGGGTCATCCTACTGGTTTAAGTGAAGAAGCCCATATCAAGGCCTGGCATTCTCAGCAGAAGGAACATGTGTTGTGCGTGCAGTTGTAGGAGAAAGGCACAGGAGTGTTTCTCGTTATATCCCAAAGTACAGCAAATGCCCATCATCTGTGCCAACAGAATGGCTGAACGATCCTGTCATATGTAATGATTGCTAGATAATTGTCCCAGATCGTGTGGTACAATGAAGATGCTTTGTTAATTGTCACCACTACCTTAGTCTGCTTTAGGTCACAGTGCCCTTGCACTGGAGGTGCAGAGGCAGGGCATAGAGTGAGCCTTGTGTTTCCAGAAAATGCATATTGTTTTGTCATCTCTTTTTCCCCTAATTGGTTGGATATTCGTACCTGTTCTGGGCTGCTTGCTGATCGGTTTGTATTAGGCAGTTTCTACAGGTGCCCCCTTTGCTGAAAATACCTGGGTTAGACAAAAGGTCTTCCCAGGCAGCTTCAGTATTCTGTGTCGTTTGCAGACTGCTCGTATTGCAGTCTACAAGTTGTATTGGGTTTGGTGTCTAAAAGGCTCAGCTTGCAGTCTGCGCTCTTGTCGCGTTGAGTTCTGGCTGAGCCCGAACGGCCCTACCCAAACGAGGTCAGCGATTGGTGCCATCCTCTTGTGCAGAGCTGCCACTTTCCCAGACCAGAGTATCCTGCAGGACAGTTGGAGCAGCTATAGGGCATACTGGGGGCACATGTGCCACTGTTTCAGCTTCACCTGTTGGCCCTCTATCTTCTTTTCTTCACACGCACTTGGATCTATCACGATATGCACACAGACTGAAACATGCATCATACGAGTGTGTCTGTCTGGCAAACAGAGGTAATAATGATAGCTGCACGTCCAATATTCTAGTGCTTCCTGCTCCCTTTGGGAGCCAGCTGTACCCCATGACCGCCTCTTGTCTTGGGATGTCTAACTCTGAGAGGCTCTTGAAGACGATGTCAGCCTCCCTTTTGTGTGCTCCTGTTGGCGTCCCGTTGAGCGAAGTATGGCGGAGAGCCATTACTTTTTTTTTTTGTCTCCCGAAAGAAACTTTTGCTGCTTTTCTTAAGTTACTTTTACTGGCCGGCTCTGGTTTCACAGGCTACAGAGCGGTGATTATGTACCGGCTTAGTGGCAGGGTGCGGCTCATTACAGTTTGATGAAAGTGTAATAGAGATTAAATCCACTTCTTATTGTTAAGCCTATTTGGTTGGCTCTGTAAGTCACAAAAGAGGATTGTGTGTGATTGCTGTAGCTCGGCTCAGCCCCTTGTTTTTGGTATTATGCATTGACCCCTTCTCGTTTTTTCCCCCACTCCTCCACATATTCATTTACTCCTGTCTGGCTTCACAGGCACAGCTCACACAGTGTATTTAAAACTGAGAACAGGCAGTGCTTCTGTACACAAAGGGCAGTGGGGGTCTGGAACAAGCTGCCCAGCCATATTGTTGAGAAACAGCTGGATAAGATCTGAAGATCATGTAACTACTAAAAACCCAGCAAGTTAAAAGGGCTGGGTGGCTTTCTGAAGTTTACAGTCTTATGTTCTTAGAACCAAGCATTGCATTTTTTTAAAGTAGTATGGTGTGCAGCATAAATAGTAAAAATATATTTGCTAGTAGTATTTGTAAAATTGATCAGTGGATTTAATTCTGTCTGTGAGATTGTTATCAAAGCTTTTGCATTACGCTTTTGAGAAGGTTTGTGCTGTTGGTGAGCTAAATACACTTTTTTCTGATCATCTTTTGTCTTGGTCCATTGAGAAAAGCGGCTCTTGAAAACTCCGGTTTCTGTTCCTTTGTCCCTCTGTGGTGTTTTGGAATGTAACTGCAGATGCTGTCTGAGAGATGCTTTACACAAAATCAGGCACCTCTTCAGTGTTGGTTTCAGGTAATTAGCTTGTCTTCCAATCCTGTTGGCAGTTAATTCTCATACCTGTCTCACCGAAATATTCTTACTCTCAATTTGGGGACATTTTTTCACTAAAGTCTCTCAACGTCTCTCAAATGCTGCAGCATTCTAAACCTTCCCCTGAACCTGTTTGGAGTTGTGCAGGCGAATGGGATACTTTTCCATCTGAAATCTGGACTCCTGCACTGGAACAGGCAGCAGGGAAGATGAGAGGTTTCTGTGGGAAGGATTTCTGAAGTCTGTTGTTTGTATCCAGTGATTTTAACTGGCAGCCTGCTTATGAACGGGGCCAGGTTCATAACTAACTGTAGGTCCTCGGTTGTTTGGCAACTGATAATCTGGGTTTCAACATTTTCCAGAAGACACGGTCTGATCTGGCGATAGAATGTTGTTTGTAAATACTGCATAGTATACTATTTGTCATTAAACAGATACTGTAATAATACTTATAATTTGTATTAAACAAGCTGAAGTAATGTGTGCTGTACAGCACTGGTTTTACAGTACAGTCCTTTAAAAGTATATGTAGCCTGTGTGTTTTTAAGGACTTCAGGCTTTATAACATTTCTATACCGGAAACAAATTCCAAATAGTTAAAAAAAGAACATGCAAAATAAGCTACTCTAAAAACATTAATATGATTATCATCATTTTTTACATCTAAAATAAAATTAATGATCTGCTGTATAAACTGTTCCTAGGAGCACAAGTGTGATGCTAATGTTACAGCGCTGAGTCTAAATTATTAGTAACCTGTGTATTTGTATGTGAATATATGGACTGGTCAATATATGCATGTGTCCCTAGAATATTTGTGTATCCCTAGAATTAGAAGTTTAGGTTGTTTTTAAGAAGGTAGAGAAGTATAAATTGTAAACACACAAAGTACATGAAATAAAACCTTTCAGGTGTTGAAGTTTGAGCCCGCATCTTGATCATTGGTAGATTCAAAATCATTTTAAAAAAGAAGCCTATCTCTTTGTTTCAAAGTTTTATTTTCTAGAGCTCAGTCTTGAGAATTAGTGAGAGTTTTAATTGTATCCCAAAACTATAAGCACATTCTACATGTGGTCATTGTGCTAAACAGAACTCTTTTTTTTTTCCTTTGTTGTAGGTTATTTAGTTTTACAAAGCAGAATGGTTCTGCCAAAGTGCACGTAAGTGAAGAGATTGGTCCGTGACCTTTCAGGAATTTAAAACCAAGCCTGCAGACAAAGTGCTCAGTGTTCGGAGGAGCGGCATTAATATGGATGTCAACAAGCTGCACTGTGTGTATGGGGGTTCTCCGAGTTCACACGCCTCACATCCCCTTCCCAATCTTGGGACTCCAATTTCCATTGCATTTGAATTTCTCAGAGTCATTGTCTCTCGTCACGGAAGTGGAACTACCTCTCAACGCTGCCAGCAGATGGCGGTATAGTTCCTGCTGGGCAGGGTGCACCTGTTCGTGCAGTTAATAATAATAAGAATAATAATTGCTTACACTTATAAAGCACTTTTTCTGGGCACTCCACTCAAAGCGCTTTACAGGTAATGGGAACTCCCCTCCACCACCACCAATGTGCAGCATCCACCTGGATGATGCGATGGCAGCCATAGTGCGCCAGAACACTCACCACACATCAGCTATCAGTGGGGAGGAGAGCAGAGTAATTAAGCCAGTTTATAGAGGGGGATTGTTAGGAGGCCATGATTGATAAAGGACGATGGGAAATTTGGCCAGGACGCCGGGGTATACCCTGGTTCTATTGGCGTGGGAGTGCTGAGGTGCTGGTGTCGTTTGAGAGTAGTTTTTTCGCCAGAGTGTTAATGTGCCGTTGCCGTCGTGAACCGGTGCAGTAAATGGCGCAGACTGGTTGTTCCTGTCAGGACTCCTCCATGCCAGCATTCCTGCAAGGTGGTCTTCCTGCTTCAGTGGCGTTACTGTGGGATTGCATGACATCAGGGTTACGTCTCTACGCATCTAAACACAGCTTTGTCCATGAAGGTAAAATGGATTGAAGCAGTGCACGCTAAGTGTGGACTTTGTCGGAACTTTTTGAATTGATTATTGATTATAATTGATTATTACTTGATTATTTTGTAGCCAAGGCTGCAGTAAGTGCTGAGAACAGAGGTGCATTGTGATGTATACAGCTACTTCTTGATGGCAGAAAAGTTTGATTCCAAAACTCTCATTTTACTTTTGTCGGATTTCGCTCTTGAGCAATATACGGGTTTGCTGTGATGGTATCTTACTGGCAGCATGGTGCCGCAGTGGTTAATATTGCTGCCTTGCAGAGCTGGGGCCCTGGGGTGCTCTCTGCGTGGAGTTTGTATGTTCTCTGGGTGGTCATGTAGCTTTCCTTGAGCTGCTCCAGTTTCCTCCCACAGTCTGAAGACATACTGGAATGTTAGCTGCCTCCTGGAAAAACTGGCCCTGGTGTGGAGTGTGTGCCCTGAGATGGACTGGTGTCCCATCCAGGATGTACCCCACCTTGTGCCCATTGCCTACTGGGATAGGCCCTAGCTTTCCCGAGCCCCTCTACTGGAAGCAGCAGTTAGAAAATGGATGGATGGTAGTAGGTTTCGATCCTGTTTTTTTCCCTACATAGCTCACATGAACACATTCTGTAATACAATGCATTCACTGTATTCCGCAGCAAAGTAAAAAAAAAAAAATCACTCTTGGATTAAATTCCCGGTGGTGTGACGCGGTCAGATTTTTACAAGTCGAGCAGTAGTGTAGCCTGGGCAGTGCCTATCTGCACACAGCTGTGCTGCCGTGTCCATTGCGTGACACATCGGCCCGAATCCTTCCTTCCGGTTTCCTTGCTGGGGCCGTAGGACGTCTTTAGCTGCTCCTCCATGATGGTCTCGGTCTTGGATTCTGCAGGCGTGCAGTTCCTGGCCCAAGGAAGAAGATCTGTGTGAAATCTTAAGGTCTGTCTGCTGCCTACAGGATAGGCACCGCGTGGTTGCAGACCGTCGCAGTATGGCCTCTCCTGTGCATCCTTTGATATTCCTGTGTCTTCTTGCTTCCTCTCTTTACCGGAGCCGGTTGACTTGAACGATCCATTGCACCTGGGACTTTGAAAGCTGCGCTTGCCAACTTGATGATGTCATTAAACATTTTGTTTCTGGATTTTTGATTTTGTTTGCATAGTTGCAAAACGTGCATGGAAAGATCGGGTTTCGTCTCCGGCTGCAGCATTGTCCAGGTTGTCTAGTTTTTGTTCTCAGGCTTGAAGGGTTGCGTTTGAATCTCTTCAATGCCCACATCTGAGCGACAGAATCGTGCTTTCCCACCCTCATTCACGTGGCGCATGTTCTCTCTCACCGGTCAGTTAGAGGGGGTTGGTTTTGCTGAGCAGCCTGCTGCTGGATGGGGCTCGGCTTTGGCAGTCTCGGCCTCAGGCCTCGTCATTGTGGCAGAATGAAAATAGTTCATTTCTAGTCTCTGAGAACATTGAAGACTGGCCGAAACTGGTGATGTGGTAAGGTCATCATGACTCAAGCCAGTGACTGAAGGGAAAATGATCTGTCCTTAGGGAGAGGTGTGCGAAACCGCTTGATTAATCCTTTTGTCTCAGGCCCCACGCACTATTATATAGTGCCTAAGACAACAGTCTAAATTTTCCCTGTGTTTTTTTTTCCCTTTTGTTTTGTAGCTTCCGATCAAAGCAGGACAGCAGAACACCCACACCAAAGTCAGCACAGAGCACAATAAGGAATGTCTTATCAACATCTCCAAATACAAGTTTTCCCTCGTCATCAGCGGCCTCACTAACATCTTGAAAAATGTGAACAATATGGTAAGTAGCTCCAGAATGGGTCCACGTTTTCATTGTAAGCAAAATAACGAGCCCTTTTGGGCTATGTGTTT